GGAGGTGAATTTCAGGCTGAAAGCTGGTTGATAAATAGGAACCTAAGCAAAGATGTGGGCAAGGAACATTCTGGGCAGAGGGATCTGTTCGGACCAAGGCTCTACGGTGTGCACAACCTTGGTGTGATCAAGGAATGGAGGGAACGGGAGAAGGAAGGTGATATCAGAGGAGGCTGTTGTTGGGGGGGGGGGGTTAGACCAAGGAAAGCCCTGTAGGTCTGGTTAAAGATTTGGGTTTTTATCTTTTTTTTTTTTTCCCCTCATTCTATAAGGATTTATCATTCCCGAATCACAGTGAAAGAAACTTGGGTCACTTACCAATTTTGTTTTCTATTATGCGCCTTAGAGATACCTCACTAAAAACTGGTATCTGACATAACAGAATAATATTTGCAGAATGTAATATTGTAGTGACAGTACTGAGGTTAATTGTTACAGACATATTAAACTCTTTGAGTATTAAATGGTTACATCCTATTTATACAGAACATTGGTCCAATAATAAAAATAGAGAATAGCAGCTGGAAATTTATCTCATTCAATGTCCAGAGATAAAAGGGTTAACCATTCATTCCATTATTTTCTGTAAGTAAGTCCTTTTTTCATACTGAAATCTGATGGCAATTAAATTCTGATATTCTTCCAAGCTACTGTATGAACAGGATGCTGAAGGCCATCACTACACAGCATACTGCCACGTAAGGACTCTTCCGTTCACCAGTTCTGGCGCACTTCCAAAATATACCCAACAATCCAGTTTTAGTTCTGTCCAGGAGGCTGGGTGCCAAGGACCGGATATAAGCACCAGGTACATAGAAGCAGCAAGATTACAGTCAACAGACTCTGCAAATTGAAAATGGCAGACATAGTGAGGCCGGCAAAGCCCCAGCCACCAGATTTGGGTTTTTATCTTAAAAGCAATGGGAAGCCGCAGGCTTTTAAGCAGATAGCTGATGTGACTAGATTTAGGATTTTAAATGGTTACTTTGGTTTCTATGAGAAGGAATTAGAGCAAAAACAAAATCAGGGAGATCAGTTAGGAGATGAGGGCAGGACTTCAGAAAAGAGGACGGTGGTTGTTTGGAGCTGGAGAGTGGCAGTGGGGACAGAGGTCCGACATAGGTTTGAGAGGAATGAGAGAGAGAGAACTGGTGGGGCGTGGTGAGGAAGTGGATTTTGAAGTGACAGAGAGAGGAAGTGTGGAGCCCATGCAATAAGCCAAGGGCCCAGTCATAGGTTAGAAACAAAGGGGAAATACACAAAGTCAGCTACCTCAACTCTCACCAGTAGCATTTAAATATTCCTACTTGTGGCTCTGTGTGTGTGTGTGTGTGTGTGTGTGTGAGTGAGTGAGTGAGTGAGTGAGACAGAGCCACAAAGCAAGACATACATTGCCCCTCCAGAGCTCACATCTTACAGGACAGACACATTTGTAGATACACAACATCAAAAACAAGGTAATGGAAAAAGACTCAGTGTATGACAAGCCAGAGATCTGTGTCTGTTAAACACTGTTAGGAAGTAGGGATAGGAGAGGCGGGAGCCTGGAGAAGTCTTCAGTTTGCAGGTAATGTGCTAATTACTGGCAGCAATGAGGTATGTGTGTGTGAGGGGGGGTTGTTTGGTTTTTGTTTTTTTCTGTGTGCTCTTCGCCCAACGTGGGGCTGGAACTCCTGACCCTGAGATCAAGAGTCGCATGCTCTACCAACCGAGCCAGCCAGGCGCCCCCGGCAATGAGGTTTTGCTTCTCTTCCAAGACCTGGAGAGGGCTGAGTGGGAGATGGAGAGGGACCCAGGACACGCGGGCTGCTTGCTTTTATCCTCCCAGAGCATGAAGGTGCACATGCAGATGAGCCTGTGCACATCAGATGGTACTGGGGACTGCGAGAGCCCCCGCTGTGTAATGTGCTTACAGCCAGAAGGATCTTTTTCTGATTTAACTGGTAGACTGAAGCCTAGGGTGATCAACTGACCTGTCCAAGGACAGTCGGCTAGTAAACAACTGCATCAAAACCAGACCTGGGGTCTCCTGACCCCTGGTTCTGTGTTGCTTCCACATCCTGCCTCCTAAATGTAGGGTCCCTTACGGACGATGAGCACACACCACACTCCTCGCCGCATTCAGGGTTATGCTGCTTTAATAATGTAGCTTTTACGTCCCTTCAAGTCCCTAATTGGCTCCTCCATTTTTTTTTTTTAAGATGTATCCATTTATTTATTTACTTATTTTTTAAGATTTTATTTATTTGACAGAGAGACACAGCGAGAGAGGGAACACAAGCAGGGGGAGTGGGAGAGGGAAGAAGCAGGCTTCCCGTGGAGCAGAGAGCCTGATGCGGGGCTCAATCCCAGGACCCTAAGATCATGACCTGAGCCGAAGGCAGACGCCCAACGACTGAGCCACCCAGGAGCCCCAAGATGTATCCATTTATTTTAGAGAGAGAGCGCTCGAGAGCAAGCAGGGGGAGAGGGAGAATCTAAGCAGACTCCCCACTGAGTATGGAACCCCACGCGGGGCTCAATCCCACAACCCTGAGATCAAGACCTGAGCTGAAATCAAGAGTCAGATGCTTAAACAGACTGAGCCACCCAGGCCCCCCTAATTGGCTCCTTCTTACGGGATATCCTTCCAAGACATCTTCCATTAACCCAGTGCAAAATTCTCAGAATGTCACTTCTGCGGGATATCATACTCAATTCTGTACTCTCTCATCCTACGTCCTACCCCTGGACAAAACACTCTACCCCTGGGGAGACGGTACCCCTGGATTTCACATAAATTACACCTTACCTCTGCTGGTGAGGCTTTTCCCTTACCTTATCTGATTTTTACAAATTATTGCTGTTGTTTAACATATGGATTGTATTTGATTTAGAACAATACTTAGATAGATAAATGAAGATGGTGTACTCTCGTATTACCATAAAAGGGAGGCAGAATCATTCCCTGCTAATAGGGATGCGGCTTCCTCTCCTGTTTCAGGCCAGGATAGTATTGGCAAGTATGAACTGGCAAGTTGGAGTCCATCTCTGACTAAGGAACCATTCGAGTATTTACTGAACTTCTTAGAACACTGTTTTCATGGGGGAACCGGACAAACTGGAGGGGAGTAAGGCAGGAGAAAAACAAAGGAGCACATTAGAAAAGTTGTGAGATTTATGCAGTTATAAATGTCCAGAAATAGTCTCTCATGGGAAGGAGCTCAGAAATCTAGGACATGGAGACTAAAATTCAGGCAGTGATATTTAAAACTGAAGATATTCTAATAAAACAGTTAGTGTGGGGACACCTGGATGGCTCAATTGGTTAAGTGTCCGACTCTTGATTTCGGCTCAGGTCATGATCTCGGGGTCCTGGGATCGAGCCCCACGTCGAGCTCCCCACTCAGTGCGGAATCTGCTTGTCTCCCTCTCCCTCTGCTTGTTCTCTCTCTCTATCTCAAATAAATAAATCTTAAAAAAAAAAATGAAACAAACAGCTAGTGTGCTGTCCCTATATAAATCGTACCTTGGGGAAACCAGAGATTTGGGAAGAGGGAGTTCTCTTTGTAGAAGTATTCCAGCTAATGAAGAAGGAATCAATTATGGAAATAAAACATCACCATTTGGCAAACCCAAATGAAATAAGGGCTTATCAATGGCTGCTAACATCATGAGACAAAATAACACTATGTACCTCCCAGTAGAAGGACACAAGATCACTATGGAGTGTTCTTAACCTTCAAAATCTGAATCTGTCATGTTTACAGATCCAAATACCAAAATTAGGAAAGAAGAGGAGGGGCACCTGGCTGGCTCAGTTGGTGGAGCGCGTGGCTCTTGATCTTGGGGTTGTGAGTTTGAGCCCCATGTTGGGTGTAGAGATTAAAGAAATAAAATCTTTTAAAAAGCGGGGCGTGCCTGGGTGGCTCAGCCAGATGAGCATCTTCCTTCGGCTTGGGTCATGATCTCAGGGTCCCGGGGTCAGGCTCCCTGCTCAGGGGGGAGTCTGCTTCTCCCTCTCCCTCTGCCCTCTCCCCGCCCCCCCTGCTGCTTGTGCTCTCTCTCTCTCTCACACACACACACTCTGTCTCTCTCTCAAATAAATAAATAAAATCTTAAAAAAAAAGGGGGTGGGGGAAGCAGAGGATAGAGGAGCACGTTAAAGGACCCCAGAGGATAGAATTGACCAAACACAGAGCTGGGGGGACACTACAGGACAACCAGCTTTCTTCAACAAATAAGTTACAAGAAAAAAACAGAGGAAGAGGAGAGCAGATCAAGACTTGTAAGGAACATACCAACCAATCGATATGGAGACCTTATTTGGATTTTGATTCAAACAAACTAAAAAACAACGACAAAAGCAAAAAACATAACTAGGGACATGTGAACATTGACTGAAATATTTGACGATACTGTCAATCACTGCTCTTTTTTTTTTTTTTTCAGGAGAAATAATAGTATTGCAGCTGTGTTTAATAGGAGAGACACCTTTTAAAACAGTGGTTCTCAAAGAGAATGCGTCACCATCGCCTGGAGAGCTTATTAAAACACATTGCTGCGCCCCACGCCTCGTTTCTGATTCAGCAGCTCTGGGGTGGGAACTTAGAGGGTGCAAGTTCCCAGGTGACACTAAGGCTGCTGATCTGGGCTCACATTTTGAGAACCGCTGCACCGGATTAACCAGATTTTTTAAATCTAATCACTCTTTCAAAGAAAGAGCTTAGGTTATCAGCTGAGTTCTATCCCCCTGGGTTACAGCACTTGGACAGCATTCCACATAATGAAAGAGAATGAACTGGGGCGCCTGGTGGCTCAGTCGGTTAAGCGACTGCCTTCGGCTCAGGTCACGATCCTGGAGTCCCTGGATCGAGTCCCGCATCGGGCTCCCTGCTCGGCAGGGAGTCTGCTTCTCCCTCTGACCCTCCCCCCTCTCATGCTCTCTCTCTTTCATTCTCGCTCTCAAATAAATAAATAAATAAAATCTTTAAAAAAAAAAAGAAAGAGAATGAACTCTTGTTCCAAGGCTCACGCAATAATTCAGTCTGTATTGCCACAGGAAGGCTTGAAAGAATACCTCCAGCTCACCTCTTTTCTCTCCCAAGTGTGACAAACCTAGCTCCCTCCTTAACCACTTGTGTCCGCCTTCCCCTCCCACTCCCCCAGCACAGGATCCCTGGAACTTAGGCTACATCCCTCCACCATTTCAAATTCAAATTCAAAACGGCTTGATGCATATAATATGGGGCGTCTAGTCCTACATGTAGTGTCTCAGAGACTCTAGCAGATCTCAGAGCTGGTCCGTTCTCTGCTGTTGTAGAGGAGACCTGCAGCCAAATTTTGGCTCTTCTGTCACCTGTATACCCACAATGCATTGTTCGGCGATTTGGGGCCTTAGGTTTTCAACAGGTAAAGAAAGAAAGCTGTTATTATGAGAGAAAATGGGACACCTGGAGAAATATTAGCCAGAGTTCCTTGGAGGAAAGACATTTCCAACAATACCAGAACATTGAATTTTAGAGATATTATTACTTTATAATTTAACAACAAAGTGCTTATGTGTGTGTGTGTGTGTGTGTGTACGCATTAGATCCTCACAACAACCTTGTGAGGTAGGTAAGGTAGAGGCTGAGAGAAGGTAAAGTCTGGCCAAATTAAATGTCAGGGCCAGAACTCAAACACTTTCCCTTCTCAATGAAGGCAGTGTTCTTTCCAACACACTGCCTTCCCTCAATTTATTTCCGTTAAATATAAGAAGGTACTAGTGCATAAAATGAATGACTCTAAAAAAATTAAACTTAAAACTAAAGGGCCCATGAGCCAGGTGATTAGAAAACAGGAGTTGTTCCCCTCAGCTGAATGCCAGGAAGGATCCCTGTAATATTTAACATCTCCGCCATTTTGCTTCAATAGTCTTACGGTCCTCTTCCAGCCTCCTCTGGCTTGCTCATCTCTGGGTATTTTCTATGCCTCAGATGGCAGCAAACCTCCAGTGGGAGTACCTCATACGCCGCTGTACAAAGAGCTTCTGAAATTCTTTCGGCCTTGAAGTCACAAGACCACAAACATCCTCTACGAGAATTCTGCCTTGTCATGGCAATGAGATATCTGGTGACTAACGTCTGCATAGCACTGGATAGGGAGAGTGTTTTCTGTTTTATTAAATCTTTGTGTTCATACCCCAAATCCTCTAGTTGCAATCTAATTTCTTGCAAGTTCTGGGTTTGTGGGGCAGCGCTAATGAATTCTTATTGAATCATAAGGCTAATAAACGTATTGAGGGTCTTTTAAGGGCCAGGTGTTATATAGTATTAAGGGCTCTATAAGATCTCAAATATTAATCATTAATAGTGATAATGTGGCCACATGTATCTCACTCCTCGTTTAGTAATCAAGCATCAACCATCAAACTCACATTTCCCTAAGGTCAGTTAAAAACACTGAAGGAATGCCTTTTGTATTCAAAACATTATTTGTGGCCTATGGGTTTATCCTCACCATTAAAGCGTAGGAAAAGGCCCAACTTGAGCCACTGATGCCCATGTTCAGGCTTTCTATACACGGAGCACCTGGAGACAACAGAAATGAAAATCTGGAAAGGGGCAGAAGAAGCACTTCAAACCATTTCCTAGATCAAATGGGTATTTTGATGGCATAAGAGATGTGCTTTCTGACGGAAGCTCTTGTCACATCTACTACAGTGGAAAGGTTTTTCTCCTGTATGTGTTCTCTGGTGTGTGAGAAAATGGGAACGCTGATTGAAGGTTTTGCCACACTCAGGACAGTGATAGGGCCTGTCTCCTAAGTGGATTCGTTGATGAGTCATGAAGTGGGAGCTCTGATTGAAGCTCTTCCCACACTCGCCACATTTGTAGGGTCTTTCCCCCGTGTGGATCCGTTGGTGTTTTATAAGGGCAGAGCTGTCGGCGAATCCCTTCCCACAGTTGTCACACTTAAACGGCCTCTCACCCGTGTGTGTCCTCTGGTGCGTGACCAGGTGTGAGCTCTGACTGAAACTTTTGTGGCAGTAAGGACAGCTAAAAGGCCTTTCTCCCGAGTGAGTACTCATGTGCGCTACAAAGTGAGAACTGTCTCTAAAGCCCTTCCCACACTCTGGGCACTTAAAGGGCCGTTCTCCGGTGTGGGTTCGTTGGTGTTTAACCAAGTCTGAGCTCTGGCTAAAACTTTCCCCACAGTCACTACACCTGTAAGGTTTCACTCCCGTGTGGGTCCTCTGATGGGTAATGAAGTTGGAGCTTCGACTAAAGCTTTTATGGCATTCGAGACACGTGTAGGGCTTCTCTCCTGTGTGGGTTCTTTGGTGCATTATGAGGTGTGGCTTCCGCCCAAAGGTCTTTCCACATTGTGGGCACTCATAGGGTCTCTCGCCTGTGTGGGTTCTCTGATGTTTGATGAGCGTAGAGCTGTCGCTGAATTTTTTCTCACACCCGCTGCATTGGTAGGGTCTCTCTCCTGTGTGTGTCCTGCGATGGGTGACAAGGTCTGAACTCTGTTTGAAGCCTTTCCCACACTCGATGCATTTATAAGGCCTCTCACCAGTATGGGTTCTTAGGTGTCTTATGAGATAGGAGCTCTGGTTAAAGCTTTTTCCACATTCTGCACACACAGGCTTCTTTCCTACATATCCATCCAGCAGCTTGTTTAAATCCTTCTCCTGTGGAAGCGGCTCCAGTTGGCCCTCTCCTGGTAGGGCTCCATGTTGCCCTTCTACTTCAAGGTCCCTCTCCCAGTTTCCTCCCCATCTAGAAGTATGAGAAATATCTTTATTGGCCCTTTCTGAGGATGTTCCACATTGTTCTGCTGTTTCTGAAACGTCCTGACTGAGTTTTGTCACCTGATTCTCAAAGTCTGAAAAATTAACAAAAGTTAACAGGGAATGAAGTTAACCAGTTATCAGGAAAAAACATCAGAAGGCAGTAAGAAAGACTGAGATTAGCGCTTTGGCAACAGACTTACACTTAATTTCACTTTGTGTAAAGTTTTCACTTGGTGAAAAGTTTTTTTTTTTTTAATTGTATTTATTTATCTGACAGATACATAGCAAGAGAGGGAACACAAGCACGGGGAGTGGGAGAGGGAGAAGGCAGGCTTCCCGCCGAGCAGGGAGCCCGATGCGGGGCTCAATCCCAGGACCCTGGGACCATGACCTGAGCTGAAGGCAGACGCTTAACGGTTGAGCCACCCGGGTGCCCCAAGTTTTTTTTTTTTTTTTTTTTAATTTTTAAAAAAGATTTTATTTTTAAGTAATTTCTACACCCACTGTGGGGCTCAAACTCACAACCCGGAGATCAAGAGTCGCTTGCTCCACTGACTGAGTCAGCCAGGCGCCTCTCATTTTGTGAAAAGTTTATTGAAGTTCATTAAGCTTACAGAAAACTTAAATTCCTAAACCCTTTTTAAAGATGAATCTTGGGGGGGTGCCTGGGTGGCTCAGTTGGTTGGGCAACTGCTTTCGGCTCAGGTCATGATCCTGGAGTCCCTGGATCGAGTCCCGCATCGGGCTCCCTGCTCAGTGGAGAGTCTGCTTCTCCCTCTGACCCTCCCCCCTCTCATGTGCTCTCTCTCTCTCATTCTCTCTGTCTCAAATAAATAAATAAAATCTTAAAAAAAAAGAGAGATGAATCTTGGGGGATGCCTGGGTGGCTCAGTTGGTTAAGCATCTGCCTTCGGCTCCGGTCATGATCACAGGGTCTTGGGATCAAGCCCCGCATCGGGCTCCCTGCTCAGCAAGGAGTCTGCTTCTCCCTCTCCCTCCCCCGCACTGGCTCATGCTCACTTGCTCTCTCTCTCTCTGTCAAATAAATAATATCTTAAAAAAAAAAAAAGATGAATCTTGAGGGGTGCCTGGGTGGCTCAGTTGGTTAAGCATCCAGCTCTTGATTTTGCCTCGGGTCATGATCTCAGGGTCCCCAGATGGAGCTACATTTGGGGTTGGGGCTCCACACTTAGCACGGAGTCTGCGTGAGGATTCTCTCTCTCCCTCTCCCCCGCCCCTCCTCCCACTCGCACACACTTTCTCTCTCTCTGAAATAAATCTTTAAAAACAAACAAACAAAAAACAACAAATGAAGACTTTAAGGGCACCTGGCTGGCTTAGTCGGTAGAGCATGTGGCTCTTGATCTTGGGGTTATGAATTCAAGCCCTATGTTGGGCATATAAAGTTTACTTAAAAAAAATAAAATGAAGACTTTATTTGGTAAATTACTGATTGCCCAAGAAGTCAAATTTAAACTTCAAATAGTGAGAACAAAAGTCTATGGCAGCATTCCAAAATCTTCATCTAAACAAGGGCTGAGGGTGCCTGGGTGGCTCAGTCAGTGAAGCATCTGCCTTTGACTCAGGTCATGATCCCAGGGTCCTGGGATCGAGCTCTGCATCGGGTTCCCTGCTCAGCGGGGAGTCTGCTTCCCCCTCACCCCCTGCCCCTCCCCATCTCTCATGCTCACTCCCTCTTTCAAATAAATAAAAACAAAATCTTAAAAAAAAACCCCAAAACCAACCAAGGCTAAAATGCTAGATTTCCTCCCACTGGATAATATCCACATCTCACCCGTATGACTTTCTCCTAGGATCTTCCTTGCCCCAAAATTTTGGAGTGGTAGCACCCATGGCTCTTCTTTCTGTTCCAGCTGGGAGATTACACTTGGTCTGGAAATCCTATACAAGAAGGTGAATATAGGATATTAATCTGAGCCAACCATACAATGCCTGACCAAAAAGGCAAGCCCTCCTCCTTCCCTAAGTAGAGGAGAAAGCCCAGGGAGATGCTAAGCTAAGGTGTGTTTGGTCTCATTGAAAGGGCTGCCATGATGGAGTGATAAAACAGGGTGATCTCCCCAAGAGGCTGAGAAAATAGCCCCTTTCTTCCCATTAAAAAAACAACAGGGCGCCTGGGTGGCTCAGTTGGTTAAGCGACTGCCTTCGGCTCAGGTCATGATCCCAGGGTCCTGGGATCGAGCCCCACATTGGGCTCCCAGCTCAGCGGGGAGCCTGCTTCTCCGTCTGACCCTCTCCTCTCTCATGCTGTTTCTCTCTCGCTCGCTCTCTAATAAATAAATAAATAAAATCTTTAAAAAAACAAAACAAAACAACAACAACAACAAAACAACAAAACTTGGGTGATAGAAACTCCAGAGTGAGCACAATAATTCATCTCTGAAGGCACAAGGCTAAACCCATGTAGAAAGATAATTTTATCAGAAACAATGCCACCATGATCTCACCCTTAGAAAGAATCAGCGAAGTTAACTATAATGTTGGGCTTTAAACTTTTCCCAGAAGGGCAGCAGTAGATACAGCCATGAGAAAAAGACAAACGCTTGTAAAGGGAAAAAAATTTTTAAAAAGGGCAAAGGATATAAATAGGCAATTCACACACAGACACACACATACACACAGCCTATAAATATGTGAAAAACCTTTAACCTTACCATTAACCAAAGAAATTCAAATAAAAACAATGATACAGTTAGACAATGTAGTATGGAGGTAAAGAGTACAAACCGCCGAAGTTTCAATCTTAACCCTTCCTCTTACTAGCTGTGTGACTTCAGGAAAGTGACTTAAAGTCTCTGTGTCTCAGGGTCTTCATCTGTAGACTAGGGATAATGATAAGATCTACCTCATAGTGTTGTTGTAAAGATTAAGTTGTAAGTTCCCAATAAATGTTAGCTGTAACTATTATTTAACCCAGACTCTTAAATTATAATACCTACCATGATAGGTAAAATGTAAAGAAATGGACACTTTCATATAATGCTTGCAGGAATAAATAATTCAATCTTTTTGGAAGGCATTGGGCAAAAATATCAAATATCTTAGAAATGTATCTATTCTTTGACCTAGCAATTCTAATTCTGGGAATTCTAAGGAAATGAAAAAAAAGTTGTGGGACGCCTGGCTGGCTCAGTTGAAAGAGCATGTGACTCCTGATGTCAGGGTTGTGAGTCTGAGCCCCACACTGGGGGTAGCGATTACAAAAAAAATAAATAAAACTTGAAAAAAGAAGGGGCGCCTGGGTGGCTCAGTCGTTAAGCGTCTGCCTTCGGTTCAGGTCATGATCCCAGGGTCCTGGGATCGAGCCCCACATCGGGCTCCCTGCTCGGCGGGAAGCCTGCTTCTCTCTCTCTCCCACTCCCCCTGCTTGTGTTCCCTCTCTCGCTGTGTCTCTCTCTGTCAAACAAATAAAATCTTTAAAAAAAAAAAAGAACTTGAAAAAAATGTTGTGCAAAAGGTATATTAGCTAATTACTAACTAATTATACTTTAATAAGCAAGACCTAAAAAAGAAAGACAGTTAGCTAAGAGATGATCATTACAATACTGGTGAAGATCTGGAAATGACCTAAATGTCCCATGACAAAGGAATAATCATATTTGATTGAGCCATATGAAACTGCCATTGTATAAGTTAAAAAATGGTTTAAATATGGTCAAGTATATGATTCAATCTAATGTAAGTTATTATATTCCATTCAATAAATTAGTAAGTGGTTATTTTAAGCAATGTATAGAAGACTATTTATTGTTGTCAATATATATTCACAATACACTGTGTAAAAAAGTAAGATGCACAACTGAACATACAAGTAAGATCCCAATTTTTTTCTTTTGTTTTTGCTAATTACATATATCCTTAGAACAATGCCTGGAAGGATAGTAACTCTTCAGTCGTGGGATGGAATGGGACTTTGGTTTTCATTTTGTTTCTCTTTTTCTTCAAGGGGCGTATATTACTTATGAGGTAAAGCAAGGAGAAGGGGTAGCCATTGTATTTTAGAAAGAGCACTGGAGGTTTGTTTGGTTTGTCTGTTTTTGAAGAGACAGGAAAAAACACAGCTCCCCCTTTGCCACAAAGACCTGGGTTGGATTCTTACTCTGCCACTTAACTTTGAGTCTTGGGGTCCTGACCCGAAAGAGGGGGATGATAATACCCACATCAGAGGGTTATGGTGAGATATTAACAAGAAAATAAATATCAAAGATATCTGTGAGCTATAAAGTGCCATAAAAATGAAAGTCATGCCAAAAAAAAAAAAAAAGTGGAAGTTATTCTTTTTCTGCCAGGGAGGCAACAAATATTCTCACAGAGAGCTAGCTGGCGCTGTAAGAGACCAGTGTCCCTAGAGACTGCTCAGACTTGGACCTTCTCACAATATCTAAGTCTAAAATCTAAAGGAGAGTAGCAGACTTACCCTCTGAGAGCCCATTCTTCAAACTGTGCTGGGTGGTATCCTTGAATAGGATTTTCTAAGTGGTGTCCAGGTAACCCACTCTTCCCTGAAGTCCCCAGCCACATCATTGAGAGTCATCAGTTCCTAAAGCAAGAGACTTCAGTATGCATCAGAAGCTCTCTGGACATTCTAACCATGGTCTCAAAACCAAAAGACAGTCCCAGCGGCCACCAGTATACCAAAAGAACCCCCCCCCCCCCACCTGCCTAGAATAGCTATGAGGTAAATTCTGTCAACCACCAAAGGGTTGCTTTTCTTGTTCTGTTTTTACATCATCCTTCCCTTGGCCAACACTCACATCATGAAGTGAGGCCTGGAGCTCCCGAACACATCTACAGAACCCTCAGTCTTTGGAAAATTAACTTTTTGAGAAATAAATTGTTCATGAGGGACAAGATAAACAAAGAAGAGAATGTGCGGGGATGACTTGATTTGTGAAAAGCTCTCCAGCTACGTTTTCCTCAGCAAGCTAGGAAATGGTGGACTTCATTATACTCATATTAGTTATGAGAACAATTGGCTTTTCCTGGCTTGTAGATTTGGTGTCAACCTCAAAGAACAGACTACACAGAACCCGAAAGGGAAGACCCTGGGTACCATTCTACTTCAAGGTTTAATGGAATCAGAAATGAGATTTAAAAAGACATGGATAAGGTGTAAAATAAAGTAAAATTTAATGAAGATAAGCACAAAGCAAAACCCACGGGGCCTGAAAACAATCATTGACACACTGATAAAACTGAGCAGTATCGGGCGCCTGGGTGGCTCAGTCGTTAAGCGTCTGCCTTCGGCTCAGGTCATGATCCCAGGGTCCTGGGATCGAGTCCCACATCGGGCTCCCTGCTCAGCGGGAAGCCTGCTTCTCCCTCTCCCACTCCCCCTGCTTGTGTTCCTGCTCTTGCTATCTCTCTGTCAAATAAATAAATAAATAAATAAAAATTTAAAAAAAACACAAAAAACTGAGCAGTATCAAGAAAAAATTATTTGGAGGGCGATGGTCAGATTACTAGATGGATCAGTAATTTATTCAGTAATATGTTGTAAGGCATTAGGAGTCACAAAGAAATACAATGGGTTTTTTTTGGTTTTGTTTTGGGGTCTTTTGTGTTTTTTGGGGGGTGGGGGTGGCTTAAAGAGTTTCCAACAGAAACAAACACAAGTCAGCCAGCTGAACCTGCTACAAAAAATTCTGCATTTCACTGGAGGAGGGACCAGACGGGAGTGAGGAAGCTTAACTCTTTCCCCGTTTTTTGTCTCACCAATCAAAGCACCTAGAAGACACTCACACTTTTCCTGGAAATATTTATGCATTTCCACACATTGCTATTGGTCATTTACAAAGTACTGAATTTTTAGGGACCTAAACACCGCAGGGATACATTTCATCTCTGGATTTAAGTAACGTCATTAGGAGGTAAGTTCGGAGCATAAATTTTATTTCTACATCCATTAGGAAACACAACTGCTGGGCCCACTTGCAGGAGACAGCGGGACTGAGGGGGTCACAGCCACGGTCACAGAAACCTTGTCTCTCACCCCGTCTCCTGCCCCCCACCCCGACAGGTGACCCCCGCAGGCCCCAGGGCGCAGAGGTGCTGACTGCGTGCCATTGTGAGCAGCACCAGTTCGTTCGCTGGGGTTATTAATAGGGACATGACGGCACGGGTGGGCCGACACCCGTCCCCCCGCCCTCCCCTGCCACTGCTGGAGGCCCTACCAGGGCGCCGCGGTCACAGGGTCACAGCGCTAAGCCGAAGCCCGGAGCCCACCTCCGAGGAGCGAGAACACCGATCGGGAGGATGGGCTCTCCCGACGACGGCACAGAAAGCCGCAGCCACCTGTCCCCACTCTTCAGCAAGCCCCCGCGGGCTCCGAAAGGCGAGCGCGGGGACCTGGCAGGGACCACATCGCGGCGGCGGCGAGTCCCCTCCACGCCCCTCAGCAGCTCCCAGGCTACCGCGGCGGTCTCCTTGCCCCCGTCACTCACCGCCCCGGGGCCCGGCCGGGGATGGAGCAGGAAGGGAGAGTCCTCCACCGCCGAGCCGCACCCGGCCCACAACGCCGAGGCAGTCCCTCCCTGAACCCGACTGGGGTTCGTGACAGGGCTGTGGGGACACAGGTGGGACTCCAGGCTCGACAGCCCGCAGCCGGAAAACACCGCCCCTGCCCCCTTACCATTGGCTCCTCATTTTCCGCGACCAGAAGCCTCGTCCGCTCATAGGCTGGTAGAGCTTTCGATCACCGCGCGGCCTTCTGGGAACTGTAGTCTCGAACAAGACCTCAAAGGACTCGGAGTCCCGGGATACCCAGGTCCAAGCGGTGGCAAGTACTAAGCCCGGTTCTCCCCACGGCGGGAACGGCTTCTCTCGAGTTGAGAGAGGGATCTGTAGACGCGAAACTCGTGGCCTCACCCGACTGCCGCGGAGCAGCCACGTGCCAACGGCGCCGTCTCCCGCGCTCTGGCACCTCGCCCCCCGCCAAGCGCCGGGCAGCTCATCGCCGCCGGCTTGTGGATGCTCCTCTGCCGGGTCCCCGATCCCCGAGGGCCAGAGCCTGCATGGTGTCTGCCGCCAGCCGGTTCCAGGGCAGCTCAGACTATGCATTAAGAAACTCCAGGCAGACGCCGTTAGCAGAAAACAGACGTTCTGCTCCCCTCCGTTGGCCTCACAATTCCACTGGTTAACACACCTGATAATAGCCGGAGGAGGCTGGCGAGGGTGTCTAATAGTCGAGGAAATGTGTATTGGGTTCCAAACTGTGGAGGCTACTGGGTCTTATGTGAGAACTAGTGTTCACTTTGGGCCAGGCCCTACCTAAAAAATAATAGAAGCCTTTCTTTACAATGAAGAAAACGCACCTGTCTACCCTATTTGTTGATTCAGTGCGAAGAGGAAGAGGAAGAGGAAGAGGAAGAGGAAGAAGAAGAAGAAGAAGAAGAAGAAGAAGAAGAAGAAGAAGAAGAAGAAGAAGAAGAAGAAGAAGAAGAAGAAGAAGAAGAAGAAGAACAACAACAACAACAACAACAACAACAACAACAACATTCTGTTCTTTTAGAATTACCAGTGCATGGCTAATGTGAAGACTCCCTCAATGCTAATTCAACCATTCCTTCAACAAACATATATGGTGCATCTTCCAACATCTTCCAACAAATAGTTACTGGGAATGTCTACATTCCAGATTGTTCCGGGCACTGTGGTTACCCACAGGAATCACGTATGACCATTGCTTTCATGAAGCTCACAGGCCAACAGGGGAGAGAAACCATAGAAGATATTAAATACCAAATAATATGGTCTTTTTCCCCCCATATAGCTAGTGTATCTCAATTATTTTTGCTATGTCACTGTAGTCATCTGCAAGATAACCACAGTAGTATTTGGGAGAATTCTGTCCATGATAAGCAAATGTCTGGTTTTGCTTAGCAGATGTATTTTAGTTAGACGGAAATAGGGAAAACAATCTCAAGGGAACCCAGAAACAGCGAGGAACACCCTGCAAACCTAGGGAGTGCCAGGCCTCATATAACTGGAATATAGTTCAGGACCTGGAGAATCAAAGGAATCTCCAGGTCCCTCTGGGGTCTTTCTGGAATTCTGCCATCAGGAAGATTCCATGGCTCTTCAGTCAATCAGCGAGGAATGTGGAGGGGAGAGGAATGAAGTCACTGAACCTGACTGTGGCTATCCCTTACCACTCTCTGGCCTCTGTTTCTTCTGCCCCAGCCTGTTCTCTCAGCGTTGTATTCATCATAAGCAGATGTGTGGGAAGAAGAAGGGGAGGAGAAGCTTGATGGTATAATAAAAACAGCCAGTTAGAGGACATGAGGCCATGACCCCAGGTGGCCACTTAGGGAAGGCCCATGACCTGTTAGGAGTTGGGTGCTTACAGGTGTGCCAGAGAGAAGGCAATGCAGGAGGAGAGGATGAAAAGAGAGAAAGATTTTTAGCAGGTGCTGTAACTGGATTTTTTAAATTTTAAAAAATTTTTTTGTTTTTATTTTTTTGAGAGAGGGAGAGTGAGCAGGGGGGAGGGGCAGAGGGAGAGAGAGAATCTTTTTTTTTTTTAAGATTTGAGAGAGAGAACAAGTAGGAGGGGCAGAGGGAGAGGGAGAGACTCTCAAGCAGATTCCATGCTGAGCACGAGCCCCACGTGGAGCCCCATTACATGACACCAAGATCATGACCTAAGCCAAAACCAAGGGTCGGACGCTTAACCAACTGCGCCACCCAGGCGCCCTAGAGAGAGAGAGAATCTTAAGCAGGTTCCACGCTCAGCACAGAGCCCAACATGGGGCTCAATCTCACGACCCTGAGATCATGACCTGAGCTGAAATCAAAAGTCAGACACTTGGGCGCCTAGGTGGCTCGGTTGGGCGACTGCCTTCGGCTCAGGTCATGATCCTGGAGTCCTGGGATCGAGTCCCACATCGGGCTCCCTGCTCGGCAGGGAGTCTGCTTCTCCCTCTGACCCTCCTCCCTCTCACTCCCTCTCATGCTCTCTGTCTCTCGTTCTCTCTCTCGCAAATAAATAAAATCTTAAAAAAAAAAAAAAAAAAAGTCAGACACTTAACTGACCAAGCCACCCAGACGCCCCATGTAACTGGAATTTCTAAGGGAGTATATTATCTATTGCTGCATAACAAATTACCACTCAAGCTTTGTGGTATAAAACGACAAACATTTATTATGGTTTCTATGGGTCAGGAATCTGAACATTAGTTGGGTGTCTCTAACTGAGTGTCTCCCATGAGATCGTGTTCCAGGTGTGGACTGGGGCTGCACTTATCCCAAGGCCTGACTGAGGCTGGAGGATGTGCTCCCAAGCTCACTCATGTGGAGGTCTCCTCACACGTAGGCCTCTCCTCACAACATGGCAGCTAGTTTCCCTAGAGTGAGAGAGTTGAAAGAAGCAGAAGCTTACCTAATCTCGGAAGTGATATCCCATCCCTTCTGTCATGTGCTCTTGGTCATGCAGACCAACCCTGGTACAATATGGGACTAGGACTTGAATATTAGGGGGCACAGATCATTGGGCCACCTTGGAGACTGGCTGCCACAGGACTAAAGTGAATTTTAAGACATCTTCCTTGTGACATACTCTGTTAAACCCCTGTGACACCTCCTTCAGGAAACTTCTAGTAGAGACATGTACGGGGGAGCGGGGGGAGGGCAGTCACAATGTACACAGTATGACACAGATGTAAAAAAAAAAAAAAAAGGTTTTTTTTTTAAGTGTCTATAATTAAACTAAGATTCCTCAGGAGATTCTCATTCCTGGGCAGTTATTCAGCTTACTAGTTTAAAATAACATTTTGGGTTTAAAATAGTCAAATTTGGGTAAACCTTAGTCAATTTAAAGTTTAAACTCCCTATGAGAGCTGTCTATCTCCCCCCAGGGTCTCCCCTCCACTTACCCTTTCCCAAGATGACATGGGGTTACAAGGGGAAGCACTGGGGAAAGGGGCCCCAGTTCTCAGCTGACCTTCTCCACTGGCTCCTGCTCATCCACTCGTGCTCACCTCACCTCACCAGATCTCCGTGTCAGCCTCTGGACTCATTTCATCTCCACTGACCGTTCACGCCTGGCGGCCTGTTCTCTCTGGTACCTGTTTGGGCTCCTGCCCTGACACCTTGGCCACAGGTCCTCAGCCATATGGTGACCCTTTGGGAGGCTTCCTGGCTCTCAAATTCGGCTACTCCAATTACCTTCATCAGAAGCACTTGGAGACTTCTAGAACCCTCCATGCTCTACAGCATAAGTCTTGGGGTGCTATACCTCTGACCCTCTTTCTGCCCAATTCATCTATGGCTGCCATTTCTACCCTAATGTAACTACCACATGTTGACTTGGGGATACTCTCTGGGTCAGTTTCCATTCACAGTTCAAATAAGAAACAGGCAGCAATTTCTTTCATGTCAGTTTCCCTTTCAACCCCTCTGCAGTTCTTATCATCACTTTCCCACTTCTCCTCCTGTTGGTGATAAATTTCCTGGCCTACTTTTAATGGCAGAAGGCTGCCTGGAAGCATCTCTACAAGGAACTGCACTTGGCTATATGTAAAAGAAACCTGACTCCTGTGGTGTCTCCAAATTAGGGTCTGTTTTTCTCATGTATCAAGAAGTGTAGGGGGGCACCTGGGTGGCTCAGTCTGTTAAGCATCTGCCTTAGGCTCAGGTCATGATCTCAGGGTCCTGGGATCGAGCCCCGCATTGGGGTCCCTGCTCCGCGGGGAGCCTGCTTCTCCCTCTGCCTCTGCCCCTCTCCCTGCTCATGCACTCTTCTCTCTGTCAAATAAATAAATAAATAAAAATCTAAAAAAAAAAAAAAGTGTAGGAACTAGGGCTGGGACAGCAACTCTGGGATGCCTTCAAGGACTTGGGCATCCTCTGTCTCCCTGCTCTGCCAACCTTAGTGGGTGCCTCTGGTCTTGGTCACTTCTAGTCATCATGTCTGGGTTCCAGGATAGAATAGCATTCTGCCATTAAATGCTATCACCACTGAAATAACGTAGAACATGGAAAAATGAAAAATGGAAAAAAAAAACCATGTGGCAAAACAGGTGAAATATGATCCCATTGGTATGTAGTAGATATTTGTCATTTGTCCACCCGCACACTATCCTTCTACAAGAAATGGTACCTGATCTTTCTGGAGGAAACAGCACCCTGGTTCAGATGCGAGCTGGTGTCTTCTTACACGACCCTCCCTCTGTCACCGGGTGTGGTTTGGAAGTGGGGACTGGACCCCGACTGAGCCGGTCACAGCACCGTGCCACCTGGCCATGACGATCTGTCAGAGAGTGTGCAGGTAACTCAAGCTGAGCCTGTCAGGACCTGGCCTGGCATTTCTGAATCTGGAACCAAAGAACAAAGACCTTTTCCTGCCTACAGGTGAAGATGGGAAGAGGTGATGGGCAGCCTGTTTCCTGCCACATGAACTGCAGCCTGAGAGAGTGAGAGGGTCACAGAGAGCCAGAAGCAGGGAAGCAGTCCTGAGAGACTTGAAGTCTTTGGTCACTGAGGCCAGAAATAACTCTGACTTTTCCTTAAGTTTGTTTTATGAGTCAATGAATATTCCTTTCTTGCCTAAGCTAGTTTGAGTGGTAAAGTTCAGGCACTTGAAATTGAAAAATTCCCCACTAATGCACCATTTCTGCTGGAAAAAAAAAATCCATGCATGTGTATACATACACGTATACATACATAAATGTGGGGATAGCTTTTGCTCCTCTGTATTTTACATCTTTTTCAATAAACCCATTATTTTTTTAAGGCTGTGTTTTAGAATTATCCATTTAAATGTACTCTTTGTGAAGGGTTCAGATAATTCACCTAAAAGAGAATAAAATTAGAAACAAAATGAGCAGCTTTCATCCTTGTTCATAATAACAAACAGCAAAATTATTCGAAACCCTTTGCAGCTGAACCACTTCCAGGATAATTAACCAATTCAACTCCTTCTTGGTAGAGATTGGAAACAAAGCATCTAAGGCCTAATGTGATAAAAAGGATCCCGCAGGGATTATCACCAACTGATATCATAATGAAGTAGTTCTCTTAAGAACTCCCTCTTTACAAAAGATACAGTTTATCTTCTGTAAAGATATGTTCTCATTTGGAGGAGGGCCCGAGATTTCCAGAAGGCTTCCCTCCTCCTAAGATCTGGGAACCAACTTTGTTTCTTGTCTCTGGTAAGCCAACATCGCTCATAAAAGACTTTTCTGTGTACAGTGAATCGTATGAGGAAGCCTTTGTAACCCTCACAGGCTAATTTTTGCAAGACAGACATTCTCTATTTAAAAATGCATGTTGAAATCACATATTCCACCACTGTGGGAAGTTTCTTATTTCCTCTAATAAAAAACTTTTATTTATTTTTATGATTATGTAATAGGCATTCAGTTTTGAAAAATTAGAAATATAGAGAAATAGAGAAATCCTACCACCCACTAAAAAAACACTTAATATTTTGCTACAGATCTTTCCTGTGTGTGTGTCTGTGCGTGTGTGTGTGCACATACTAAAAAATTTTGGCTGAGCCGAAACTACAGTTATTTCCAGGGAGAAGGGAGAATTCTTTCTTTCCCTACTCCATTTGATGTTCTTATGTGTATTGGCATCTGGTGTCTTACTTTTCTGTTTAAAGGAGAGAGGAGATTTTGGGGACAGAGGTGCCTGGGGAGAAGAAGAGATGAAGGCAATCTGGGGAATAGTTTGGTGTCTGGAGTGTTTTTCCAGCTACTTAGGAAAGCAGACAAAGAAATGCAGAGAGCCGTGCCCAATAGAGTCTGGCTGGGACTTTGGGCACCAGCTCTCTGGGGCTCAGGGATGCCTTGCAGCCCAGAACTGGAGAGGGGCCCCCTCCTAACTCGTGGGGTGGTATTGCCTGGAGGACGTCGCAGGGCCAAGCTTAACAAGGGAGGTAGTGCTCATCTGGGGATGCCTCTAAGAAAAGGGAAGAATTTTCCGAGTGAGGGAAGGACATGGAGGTCTTGTAGTCAAGGAGATGAACTTTAGAACAGTGCTTCCCAAACATTAATAGTCACATGAATCACCCTGGGTGAGGGGGTGGGGGGGGCTTTTTTTTTTTTAACTTTTAAATGCCTTTTAAAATTTTGGTCATTTTTAACTTTTTTAAAAATTTTTTTATTCTTATGTTAATCCCCATACATTACATCATTAGTTTTAGATGTAGCGTTCCATGATTCATTGTTTGTGCATAACACCCAGTGCTCCATGCAGAACGTGCCCTCCTCAATACCCACCACCAGGCCAACCCATCCTCCCACCCCCCTCCCCTCTAGAACCCTCAGTTTGTTTTTCAGAGTCCATCGTCTCTCATGGTTCGTCTACCCTGGTCATTTTTAACTTTTAATGACATTAACACAGCACTGTATTTACTGGGAATCTTATACTTCACATTACACTTCTATAGATGATCTAAATTAAAGCCACAAGATTTTCACTTTGTACTACTTGGGGAACAATGCAGATCAGATGGCATTTCTTTCTACTATAATGATTTAAGCGGCATTTTCTTTTCCTATCCCATGGGAACAAAAGAAATATTTGATTAACGATTGCAGGCAATGTGCTATGTTGGCTTCATTTAAAAAACGTTTTTGAGATAAAATTCAAAAATTTTAAGTGTACAACTCAGTGGTGTTTAGTATATTCACAATGTTGGACAACCGTCACCACTATCTAATTCCAGAGCATTTCCATCACCCCCCCCCAAAAGAAACCCATCACCCATTTTCAGTGACTCCGGATGCCTCCTTTCTCCCATTCCCTAGGCGAACACTCATCTACTTTTTGTCTCTATAGATCTGCCTATCTTGGACATTTCAAACGAATGGGGGGTCCTTGGGTGGCTCAGTCGGTTAAGCCTATGCCTTTGGCTCAGGTCATGATGGGATTGAGCCCCGTGTTGGGCTCTCTGCTCAGCGGGGAGCCTGCTTCTCCCTCTCCTGCTGCCACTCCCCCTGTTTGTGCTCTCTCTCAAATAAATTTTTTAAAAAATATATTTTTTTAAAAGAGCGGAATCCTGGGGTTCCTGGGTGGCTCAGTTGGTTAAGTGTCTGCCTTCGGCTCAGGTCATGATCCCAGGGTCCTGGGATCAAGCCCCACATCAGGCTCCCCGCTCAGCGGCGAGTCTGCTTCTCCCTCTCCCTCTGTGATCTCTCTCTCGCTCTCACTATCTCTCAAATAAATAAATTAAAATCTTAAAAAAAGTGGAATCCTGCTGTTGCACTTTTGTCAAAGCGAAGGAGGCTTTAATCTTCAGCATGGAGTTCTACCTTCATTAAGCCATTCCTCACCATGAACACACAAGAGAACTTTTGTTTCACAGCCCAGAATTGACCTTGACAAACATTTTCAAGCACTATCTACAAGCAACAAATGGTCTTTAACTGTAGTGACTGTTTATTATCAACAATGGAAATACGAGGTCCCTGATTTATGAATTTGTTAATTGCTCTTCCTTTTATGGGTCTTTCCCATAGGAGATGGGCGTGCCTCTTTTGTGAGAATATTTCTGGGCCCAGGATATCAAGAGACATGCTGACACACATCCGCCTAAATAAATTACCGTATTTCATCTAAAATGCCACCACGGGCCACTAAGAAAGGGAATGAAACTGTCAATTAAGCTCTGAGATTTTGTCAGTTGTAAGATGCATCCCAAATTCACTGATGCCACTAAAAGGGAATAAAGTGTGCATCTCGGGGTCAGTGCACCATGGCAATGTCCCCATCTGTACCAAACTCACTTTATGTGCCATTCAAATCCTGTCCTTGCCTTGCTTTCTGGCCAGCAAACTAGCAGTGACTTGCTCTGGGACTGCTCCAGGTCCCTCCGGTCACGTGAGGGCACGAAACAGGACCTGGCCCCATACCAGCACCCATGCTTCTGCCATGCGGGTTCTCTGTGGCTTGCGGAGCCCCTCCAAGGGCGCGGATGCACGCGATGGGGCCCCTGCAGATTCATACCGGCCACAGAGGCTGTCCGGGGTCCTAGTGTTCATGGTAACGGCTGGAGCAGTCCGGCTGCTCAACTCCTAAGAGAGAAGGAGTTGATGTCCTCAGGGGCAAACGTTGACTAACGAGCGGCTTCAGCAGCCTGCAGACAACTATGCCCCCTCCTGCCCTCCTCCCACGCCAGGTCCCCCAGAGAAGCTCAGAGATGCAGAAGCTTTATCAGGCTTCTCAAAGATGTCCCGTGAGACATAGGAAGCGACTGGGCTTGCAAAAGCTGTGGCCAAAACCGAATTGCCTGCTCTCACACCTATTCTTCCTCTTTTCTTGGTTCACACCCCTCTTCCCAGCACTTCCCAGCACTCCTGCTCCCCTGGGAATCAGGATGGTTGGTCATTGTAACAAAATCCCGAATCTTGGCCACTTTGTTCTGCTACCTTCCTGACGAACTATCAGATCCAGCATTTACAAGTGCCTATAAACAAGGAACTTGTGGTTACACCTGTGGACAACTTTTGAGGTCCCTCCCCAGGCCACATCCTTCACCTGCGAGAAATGCCTTCCCTGCTGGAGTGGGTCCCTGGGGCCAGTGTGCACCATAGGACTCCACTTTTCCCTGGATAGATGGTTAGACTGGGAGAGGACTTTTGATCTAGGTCTCAAACTCAGTGGTCAGATTCTCTCTCCCAGGAATATGGACCTGGCACTCTGGGGACTCCCTACTTGAAATTGCAAGACCAGAGAGGTCATGGTAACCCTCGCCTGAGGGTGCTACTGGGGCCCCGTGTAGTGAGCTGAGGAAGCAGACTTGCCAAGCAGAAGAATGAATCCAGTGTCAGCAACAGATACAGGAAGGACAAGGGGGCTGGATCTTGGGCCAGGCCACATGGCTTCTCGATTTCGGATGTAGTCCCCTGTGGGCTTGGTTTCATTGCTGCCCCTGCCCCATGCTACCAGGTGGCCCTACACCTTCCCACCAAATCTCCCTTTCAGTCTGGAGCTATTCTAAGTGGGTTCCCATTCCCTGAAAACAAACATTCCCTAAACAACTAAAACCATGCTAATTAAAAATACAATCTTTACTGGGGGCACCTGGGTGGTGCAGTGGGTTAAGCTCTTGCTTTTGTCTCAGGTCCTGACCTCAGGGTCCTGAGATCAAGACCCACTCCAAGCTCAGCAGGGAGTCGGCTTGAGATTCTCTCTCTCAAATAATTAAATAAATCTTTTTTAAAAAAATGCAATCTTTACTGGGGCACCTGGCTGGCTTAATCGGTAGAGCATGCAACTCTTGATCTTGGGGTTGTAGGTTCA